TCCGTTGATGCAGAGCTGGACCAGCCATAATAATAATAGCCTACAAGGAAGAAATAACTGACAACGTGCCGTTGAATTACAGAAAGAAAGAAAAAACCCAAGGTACAGTCACAAAGTTATTGTTTGGCAAAATTAATATAAGATATTCTGTGTCTTAAGACAAGTTAAGTTAGAACAAGTTCAATAAAACAACTTTATTATATTTCTAAGGTAGAGGAGAATAGCCAAACCAAAAAGAAACAAAGAAAACACAATGTAACATTCATAAAACCATACTCAATTGAATGCGCACATGTGACTGGTGGATCGCGAGCTGTGTGTGTGTGGATTGGGCAAGGATAAAAGGGAGGAACGAAAGTCTCAAAATTCAAATGAATCAAATAGAATCGACTCAGAAGAGACGTGAATGAATGCACGCGTGTCACCTGATCCACAAATGCACATTTTAATCGCTACATGCACAAATCATGATACTTTAATACAAACTATAACATTTGTATTCACAAATATGTCTCTATTTGAACAAAATGCTGCACATTCTTAACTCTGCAGACATCGGCTGAAAACCATTTGTTTCAGTGTAGTGACGCACATTTGCGAAATTTTCAAATCGTGTACACGTTAATGAATTGCACTGGGCCTTGTTCGGGGTTGGTAGTTGTGTGTGTGGGGGACGTGAAATGCTGTAAACTGCGAAAATGAAGTCTCAAAATCCAAATGAACCGAACAAGATCGACTCGAACTAGACGTCAATTAAACTGATTCATTTGATTCACTGATTAAAAAAAAAAAAAAAAACACAAGAAATTAATCTTTAGAATCAGCTGTGGGGCGGAGTTTGCACTGAAATGGATGGGTGGGGGGGAAGTGCGCATGCGTGTCATGTGCCTGTCTGTCAATGAGAGGAAGCCACGCCCTATTTTGGAGCTCCCACCCCGTTTTGGAGTTCCCGCCCCCATTTGGAGATCTCCAGGCTGCAGTTATCCCTTCTCTAATTATGCGGTAGTGCATGCTCTTGTTTCCTTTCACCACAAGAGGGCGTGAGAGTGTAACAGAGTAACGGTCTGCTGAGGTTTGTGGTTGAGGGCTCTATAAATTATGACCTGTAGGTGTTATTGCTTTTCATCCTCTTTACACGCAAAATACCCATTATCCAAGAGGGAGTTCCCGTGCTGAATTACTTCTACGTGCCACTCTTGGTAAGAAAGTCTCTTTAGAATTTTTTATTTACTGGGACTATAGTTTCTGGTTGAGACGTTTTTTGACAGGCAGGTTTCTCTTTCTTTGACAGACAGTAGTATTAGGTTCATACTTGCACAAGACGACAGCTTCTTCAGCGTCTATGCAATGTGTGTGGACACCTCTTGTTTCTGTAAGCTTTAGTAGAATTATTTATGTATAATTTTGAATATTAATATAATATTCGGTTTCATTCATAAAGCTTTATTCAGTGTTATGATGTTGCTTGAAATTATTTTTGTTCTGTATGTCGTTCTAAAAACTTATCTCAGCTTTAAACAGCCGTTTTTCAAATTTATTTGTGCAAAAAATATTTCTAAAATGTAGTTCTATTTCAGTTTTACACATCTGATTTCCTGATACATTTAACCTTTATTTGTCTGTTTCCTCCTGAACACCATCTTTTTCTTCTCTTTCAATCCTATGACAATATATGGCATTCACAGGCAAAGACTTATAAAGAAATGATGGGACAACACCCAAACCTTTCCTCATATCTCCTGGCCTGAAAACAATTTCTGACATAGACCCTACACAGCATACTAACATGTTTCCCCTCTTACTTCTGACTACTGCCTTATTATGGAAAAAATGATCACTCACTCAACAACTGGTATTTAAAAAGCTGCCTGAGCTTGGACACCTTGAGAAAAGAAAAAGAAGTTGAACATGAGAGTTAACTGACTTGTTTGCTTTTTCAGTGTAAAACTGAATGACTGATTCATAGTTTTCTTCTCACAATTTGAGCCGTTTTTACAGCTGCAAACGAATGAGATTAAAGTGGCTTTTATACAATCAATTTAGGTCAACATTCTGCATTGAGCTCTAGATGTCTGTCTAGTTTTCTGTTTTATTTTTTATTCATATTTATGAATTCATGTCAGTTTTCCCTGCTCAAAACACTTCAACAGATGTTAACAAACCCTCGCAGGTTTAGGTCTTTAAAAAGCACCATATACCTTAGCAAAGGGCTTTCATAGTATTTTCTTTTGTGATTGCAAGTGATGTGGCATGGAGAAAGACTGCCCTTGTTGTAGACATACAGTACATGCCTCCTTTAGGATTGGCAAGTGAGGTTCAGTGAAAAATAGGCACTTTATCTCCTACTGTAACAGTTGATTTCCAGATGCTTAATGAACTGTTAACTATTGTTTATTTACATCCATCTTTTCTTGAAGGATTGTTATGAGAATAATTGGAAATAAAGCAAGAACTGTCTTGCTCGATGTCTGGAGACATTTAGGTTCTGTACTGTGAGTTACAAGTGCTATCATTTTTTAATCCTAGATTAAAATACTTTTGTATTGTTTTAGAAGTGGTATTTTTTTTTTTACCACACATTTTTTATATATCTAAATTAATACAACTATTTAAAGAATACTACAAAGACATTTCCCTGAATGCTTTCGCTCGTTTCCCTGAATGCTATTCCCTCTATTAAACCGCCATTGAAATGCATTAAAACTTCAACACCCCCAACTTTTCAAAACATTGTTTTGTGGATCTCTCATCAAAAACCATTAGCTATATGTTTAACCCTACAGTGATATTTTAATCATAAGCATTCCAATAACATAATACCGAAGTTAACGGAAATTGCTCTTAGTTTGGGATAAGTTAAACATGAAGACATTTGATGCTTAACCCACATGTGCACGTAAAATCATCCTTATGTCTACTTACAACTCTAGGGGCCTCATTTATAAAATGTGCGTACGCACAGATTTGATCTTAGAGTGTGCACGCTAAAATCCACGGCAACGTTCATATTTATAAAAACGGTCTTTGACGTGGAAAAGCACTTACCGCCACATCAAAGTCTGAGCAGGCGTATGCACTTTTCCTTGTGGCAAAGTCGGAGTACTGCAGCTAATTGAACATCTAAGACGCAATAATAATAAAAGCGGTGTACGTGCAAGCACCGAATTCATCATAAACAACAAAGACACATTGTAAGAGATTAATTGTGCAGTGTAGTCAGATATTTTTTATTAACGGGAGTTTTTGCGAGATTAAACTGACCTTTTTAGTAGCCTAATGTTGGAGTAAAGAACTACTCGCTTTCTGTACACAGTTTATTCCATGTTTTTTTTTTTATTATTTTATTTTACAAGAGAACTTGCTTAGTCTTGATTTACAACTATTGCGTGAAATAGAAATAAATGCATAAACGCATACTGTTTTGTCTGCGTAGCCTATAAGAATAGGCCTATGTCGTGCAATCACGGTTTTAATGTTCTATTCAATAACATTGTTAACTGTTTTTATTTATAACATCTGCTGCTTTGCTTCTGTGAAAATGAATAGAGACATCAGCCTTAAACTTTGTTTTTGTCATTTACATCAGTTTTTTTTTTGTATAAAATACACTATATTTTTGTGTCAGTACATTAATGGCACATTTGAGCAGCATTAGTAAACTGTGTAAATATAAAGAAATGCCAAATCACATGCAGGTTTTTTCAGAACTTTTTTTTTTTTTTAAGTTTTGCAAGAATTTCGTGATAGCCTACTAAACTTTTTATTAGTTGTCATAGCAAGTGATTTTAAAAGTAGGATGGCTCACTTTTTATAAGATCACTGAATTTTACTTGAATTCGTAGTTTCTTACTTTCGGAAACCTAATTGTTTTATAAATTTACTACTACTACCATTATTATTATTATTATTACTGTTGTTTCTAGAAGTACTAATTTTGATAATAGTCGATTGAAAAAAAATATAACCACACACACATGGTTTGGCCACAGAATATTTACACATTAAATAAAAGGCGTCCCCGCACGAACCTCTACCTCCGCCAGCAGGACCTCAATTTCAGACTCAGTAAAGTTCTTTTTTTTTTCCTTCGTGCTCGTCATTCTCAAGCATAGGCAGCATTTATACGCAACATTTTATAAATGAGGCCCTAGATGTGGAGCAAAATTAATCAGCTGCACAAGCCTTTTACACAACCAACTTGCTGAGAAAGATCCTCGGGTCTTGCAAGAAGACTACTTCTAGCAAGTTGAATGCTCTTGGTCTGCATAATTCAATACTGATATCCTAGCAAACTGCTTTTTAATGCACTGTATCTATGAGGTGTACAAAAAATAAGCATGATATCAGACCAATATATCAAAATGGACAGTGTCAAAGTGCAAGAGCATACAATAACACACTTTGTATGCCACAAAGAAATCAAATTTGTTTAACATTATACAGATGTACAATTATGGGTGCATCTTGAACATTTGTTTGAATTCAATTATAACGTTTTCTTTCACGATTCACAATGTTTGTAATTTAAACAGCATCTAATAACCAGTTTAATTTATTGCTCAATTAGAATTATTTCCTAGAAGGTTCCTAGAAGCACAGCAAACTTTCTACACGTTTTTCCAACCACATCTATACTCACAAAAGAACTGAAACCTCTGATGATTCAACTCAAAGTTCTCAAGCAGAATCAGTATAATTAATATATATATATATATATATATAAGCTTTCATTTGATCAATGCTAGAGACAAATCCGATTTTATTGGCTTTTCTTCACCTTCCAATTTTATTTAGAACAATCAAAAAAATAAAATAAGTTTGTCAACTAAACCAGAAACTAAGAACTCCATGGTAGTTATTTTAAAACAAAGTGCTCAATCACATACAAGAAATAAATTAAATGAAATGTATTCCATCACTATATAGATAATATATATTTATATATTAAACAAAAACTTCAGGCTTTTTTCACAATTAAGACTTTAAACATTGCAAGACAGATATCCTTCAGTAAGTGCCCATGAAAGAAAGTAGCATGGGTCTTGTTCAATAGTCAGTATAAGAATCAATATTTCCTCATGCTGTCCTCTGGAATCTGACCGGACCATGTGGCAGCAGTGGACGTCTTAGGCATGGCTGATGGGCAGCTGTGTCATTGAGTGCGGCAAGAGAGGCTGCAGAACCAGTGAAGAGGGAGAGTGGACTACAAAGACGAAAAGTTAATGTCTAGTCTCAACTTCAGTCATGAAGAGCTGCTCAGCATGTGCACTAAATTAAAACAATAACGTATAAGTAATATTTTATTTTATTAAGACTTGATTTAGCTAGTATGAAAATGCATTAAAAAAAAATTTTTTTTTAAATGCACACATACATAGACTATAGTGATATTCCACATAACATACCATCCATATAGGAGTGTAGCGCAGTCAGCATAGGGGTGTCTACAGGGGCAAAAGCAGTGTACTGAAATTCATCTATTAGAGGAGAAAGCCGAGTGGACTGCAGAGATGACACTGGTGCGCCTGAAGAGTGATTTGGGCTAACATGCTTCTTATGACGAGCTCGACAGTTCTGAAACCAAACCTGAGCGGCAGATGGATGAAGTATTGACAGTACACTAGTAAAGTTATAATATATAATAGTAGTAGTATGCATGAAAAGTTTCAATAAAATAAATGCAAATAAAAAAAATTGATTGATAGAGAGATAGATAGATAGATAGATACCTGAATAACCCTCCGGCTTAGACCAGTTCTTTCTGCCAACTTTTGTAAAGTCTGGGCATCTGGATTGTTGTCCTGAGCAAACTGGGCTTGCATTACCTTAATTCACATTTAAAATAAATAAATTGAGCAGCCAATGCAAGGAAATGGATACTATGTTTTTAAGTATCTGGCATTTTTTCAGAAAACATTAAGATAAGAACTTCAATATTAACCTGTAGCTGGTCAGCTGTAAAACTTGTCCGTGCCCTCTTGGCTGGTTTAGGCTGATTTACTTCCTGCTCTGAGGGAACAGCTCCCTCCGCATTCACTCCTTTTCCTACAGCAAACCACAAAAGTCCATCAACAAGAGCAGAATTTAACTGAAGCTCTGGATTCATAGGAGCTAAATGAATGCAGGAGGAGTTAACATTGTGTTAATTTTAAACATTTGAGAAGATATACTAGATAACCATTTAAAATCTAACCATTCTCCATGACACGTTTCAGGTTGTCCAACATGCAATCGTAGTGCACACGACACAGAACCCTCTCATCTACCAGGGCAAACTCTTCTCCTGTGGACAGCTGTCTCTTGCAAGAAAAGCATGCAAAACAAGCCAGGTGGTAGGTGTTTCCTTTTGCTCTGCGGACCCAGTCGTTTGAATGGATGTTCCTACCACAGTGAGCACAACGTGTTCCATACTTCCTGCAAGAAAAAAAGTCTTTGATAAGAACTTCCATCTTTAAAAAAAACAAACAAAAAAAAACAAAGTTAAACAAGATTGTGACATTTCATTGTAGTGAGGCTAACAGCAGTTGTTTGATACAGCACTCCAGGAAAAACCACAGGGAAGGAATGAAAACACTGGTCGACTACCTAAAATGTAATGAAGTATTAAGTATGCAGTGTTTCGGTAGAAAACAACTATTTTAAATCACTTAAGAAAACGCAGAGGCGTCGGCATATTGATGATCGTCCATCGACAGCATGACAGTATTTCCCAAAGTTATTTTCAGTATTTATTTTTCATAAATTGGTGGGGGTGATATCTTCTTTACCTGAAGTAATCCAATTTACAGAATATCTCCTTTTCTTTCATATAACAGCTGATGTGTCTGCCCAAAGATGTTTGGCACACGCTGCACGATAGGCATCTCACGTGCCAGCACATGTCGTTCACCTGAAAAGCAACATTTTTAGGTTTCGAGCTAAACATTTGCGTAGATAAGAAGAAAAAAAAAAAAAAGAGGAATAAGATTTAGTTGGGCCTAGGGAAACCCACAGCGGAACGACAATTTAGTTACACAACACTCGTCTGAAAGATTTGTTGTAAACGTAACATTTATATTTAATACGCACCTTCAACAGATATTTGTCGACGATCTCAGTGCCACAGCTGGTACATATGGCTTTCTCCGTCATGGCATGAAGTGAAGAGCCGGGCGACAAAGACGACGACGAACACGATACTTCTTCAAACAGCTCTTGGGTTTTATCCTGAAAAATCAAAGTTTCGAGTATTTTAAAACGTAGCTAACTAAACTAAAACAAAACTCTGGCCACTAAATAGTAGGCTAGTTTAGGAACGAGAATTCAGCCTTGTCGTTCAGGAACATAAGTAATGGTCAGTGACCTTCCTGTGGTCTTTCAGAAGTCTTTGACTAAAAAATAAATAAATACATAAAATAAAGATAGGCATCTCACGTGCCAGCACATGTCGTTCACCTGAAAAGCAACATTTTTAGGTTTCGAGCTAAACATTTGCGTAGATAAGAAGAAAAAAAAAAAAAGAGGAATAAGATTTAGTTGGGACTCGGGAAACCCACAGCGGAACGACAATTTAGTTACACAACACTCGTCTGAAAGATTTGTTGTAAACGTAACATTTATATTTAATACGCACCTTCAACAGATATTTGTCGACGATCTCAGTGCCACAGCTGGTACATATGGCTTTCTCCGTCATGGCATGAAGTGAAGAGCCGGGCGACAAAGACGACGACGAACACGATACTTCTTCAAACAGCTCTTGGGTTTTATCCTGAAAAATCAAAGTTTCGAGTATTTTAAAACGTAGCTAACTAAACTAAAACAAAACTCTGGCCACTAAATAGTAGGCTAGTTTAGGAACGAGAATTCAGCCTTGTCGTTCAGGAACATAAGTAATGGTCAGTGACCTTCCTGTGGTCTTTCAGAAGTCTTTGACTAAAAAATAAATAAATACATAAAATAAAAGTATGTAGTCCTCAAGTTCAGAAATTTGTAAATAATTATTACTAATACCACTGCGTTTATAACCTGATGCAGCTGTATGGTGTGAGGCGTGCAGAGGACTGAACCTGCACAGGGCGCGGGCATGACGAGAGCAGCTCAAACACACTGTATAGCCTGCCCGCTAGCGCTGCCGCCTTTTAACCTGGGCGGCCAAACGACCCCATTAACGGCCACTTGCCTTTTTACCATGACAACCTCTACAAGCGAGCAAGAAGAGGCGCAGAAACACGGGCAATTCTTAACGCAAAGCGTCATCCTCTTCATTTTCATGCGCTGAAACTCAGGTAGATATTAACTGGTTTTCTGTCGCCTTCACGGGCTTGTTTACCCTTGTTGCTTTCCAAAGTGACTCTCTTTCTTTCTAAACTCTCTTTAGAAAAAACAACTGCCACCGTGACAAATAAGAAAACAAATCCCCCGATTACTTAATTTAAATTAATTGCACACAGGCGTTGCCTGAGGCGCAGCTGATGATGGTACCGTAATTCAGAAGTGAAGGCTGTTTCAGTTCTCGCTGATAAAGAGGAATAAATATATTTTGATCATTTTTATTAATTAAAATCTTCCAAAATATGGAGATCACATAAGGATTTGTTACTGAAACAAGAAATTAAAATGACAGAAAATAAAAATAAAATGCACAATAAGACATTTCAAAAGTATAAACAATTCATGTGACACTTACAGTGTTCTTGCTTGGACTTTCCTTCGATGTGGTTTGTTCATTTTTCCAGTACATTGCCCAGTATATTGTATCCACTCTCAGATCTCTTGTGCAGTGAGAATTAATCCATATGGGTGCTGCAGCTGAATGCACGTCGTGACCATGTTTTAACTCAAACTTTTGTTTTCCTTAGTGAGGGTGGAACTTTTCCCTCATGTTCTCACTACTCTGGCCGCACCTCCCTGTCACATTTACAAACGCCTATTATTTGAGTGAGTTGCGTGAAAAAAGACTTGTAAACAAACTATAAACAGCATAATATTTGTTGAATCGAGAATGCAACAATTTTGTTAAATACGTTTTGGAAACGACTTTTTAACTAATTACTTTTACGTATAGCAAATAATATAGGCTACAGCAGGTCTTTTTCATGCATCGGTTTAAGCCTGATTGCACATCGGAATTATGTTTTTTTCATCGCAGTAGGCTACCATTAAGATAACATTTTCACATTTTTAGTTTTCTGAAATCTGCCTGTCATATTAAAAAGCAGGGATAATTGTGATTTGTTGCAAATAATCAAATCATTTGTATCATCGTATTATTACGCGGGTTTGACAGTTTGTACATCAACAGTCCCACAGCAAATACATCTAGGTTTGGAAATATGCATGATCAGATGGCGATTTATGATTAAATGAAACATTTCGAGTTAAAATAAAATAATTTGTACAAATATTTCACTGTGTTTCATTAGGGGAGAGTGCAGATCACTTAACCTGCCTATAAATTAATTGCCAATATCATGTCGTTTGTTTATTATTATTATTTAACAAAACCATTCATTTTTATTGGTTTATGTTGATATTACTGGTTGAATTAGTTGGTTTGTGTACTTTTTATAGACTACTACCTATTCATATATTTAATTTATTTTTATTTTATGTTCCACTTTCTAGCTAATTTTGCATCGCTATTTCCAAATATCTCACTGCGCACTGTTGCTTCACAATAAATGAATGTTGTTTAAAATTTGTTTTCAGGTCAGGAGGGTAATTATAATATTTAAATTAAAAACGAGCTGAATGAGAAAAAAAATGCGTTCTCAAATGGTTAACAAAATAGGATATGTAGCCAAGTCATCCGAAGTCAATCACTAACTGCTTCCGCTGAACCGACGTGTCAAGTATTTCGTCTAAATATATTCACATAGCCTATTTGTTTACATAGGCTATGTTGCATAAATTATAAAATGTGAATGTAGGCTATATTTAAATCTTTCAACTCATTGATTTATATTAACCATTTTGTCGTCCACCGTATGGACGTTGAATAGCATTGTTGGGTTGTAGCTATTAAATGTCTAGCCAGACATTTTAGTCAGCTCACATAGGCTATCTGCATATGAAAGGACTATGACGTCTAAAAACAAAAGCAATATTATCAGCTTCCACTCAGATTATTCTTGGCTCTGTGGATTGGATTATGTGACGTCGAGGATGTAAAGCAGTTTTGGATATGCGAAAGGTGTCAAACAGCGTTTCTTTTTTTTTTTTTTTGCGTACACAACTAGCAAGCAGATTTATGTGGTTTATTTTTGCTATTGCAAAAACTTTATGACATGACCGCTAACAGAGGAACGATTTCTGATTTCATACAATGTTATCTTTATTGTTGTTTATTTTAATGCGTAAACTATTACATCACCTGCTGAACGTATGTTGGCTATTCGTTATTTATCCTCTTTTCACATGCTTCAGAATTCATCTTATTTCTTGATTTTGCAAAGGAGTGTTGTATTAATATAAAGGAGAAAATTCCAATTTAGTGCGTTACTCTATAGTTTTGGAATTCTAATGTAATAGTTTTTGGAATTCGAATTTAAACTCCTGCGCTCTCTGTCTTTCTTCATCTGTTATGTATTCCACTATTTCTTGTATTGTTTTCAGTTGTTCATGTTATGTCTTCCAATTTCATTGGTTTTAAATTCTAATTTTGTATTTCTATTTTGCCATAATTTTCTTATTCTATAGATTTTATTTTCTTGATTCTTTATGTACATATGTATATGTTTGTTAGGTTTTGTTCTTAATGTAAAAACCTTACTTTATGACTAGTCTGTTTTGTCTCTGTATTAAGATGGGTGGAAAGATTGTTCTATCTACGTGTGGTTTAAGTGGTGACCTACTAACTAACATTGTTCCTGTACTGATTCCATAGCAAGTTTAGATCCCCTAGCACTGTTGACTAGAAAAAAATATATACAACAGTTCTTTCTGGTCCTCAAGTCTGATTAGCTAAGAGGTCTTTCCAGCCATGAGATATTCTACCAGTATTGCCACTGGAACTGTTTCACCATTTGTATCACTCTGCTTGCAGCATTTCTCAAAGTGAGTATCATGGCAGAGGACCAAACCCACTACAGTTTTAAAAATAGCCTACTAATATTATTGTGTCATTGAATGTAATTTTAAGAGTTTTTCAGGTGAGAACATAGTTTAGACTTCAAATATCCGATTTATTAATCAGGGTCAGACTTAATGATTTGGAGGCCCTAAGAAAATTCAGCTATGGGGTTCTACCACCAACTATGTGTTCTTTTATCTTAATGAATAATATTGTGAGACATTCAGACAGTTGTCAATGAAATGAGCAAGCAATACTTAACTCAATTATTCTTACCTTTATGTTAATAATTAAACTGACTTCATTTACAACTAATTCAATAATTTAAAACTAAACATATAATCATTTTATTATTTATAATGAATTGTTTGGCGTTTACCGACAAGCCCCATTCCAGAATCAAGACACCGTGGGTGTTTCTGAAATTAATGAGGGTGCTCTTGCCTTAGTTTGACTTATTTTTGTCCCATCCATTTTGATTGAGAGTGAATCTCGCATTTATGTGCAGATGTGACTTCCAAAACTCTGCAGCGTGTAAGTCGTCCTGTCCTATTGGCAGCATGTAAAATCATTTTATTCAAATTCCAAATGGATTATATAGCTACCTATGTAAGTGTGTAAAAAGCTTTCCCTTTATAATAACTAAAAAGCTGTCACTCACTTAAGTTAAACTGCAATCTCGAGAAGTTCAATTATGATCAAGGAAGTTATACACTACACAATAAATCTCTTATTTACAAACACTTTGTCTAATGAGAGAATTCACAAGCACACAGAACTCAGCACTAAATAAAACTGCAGCATTTCAAAGTGGATTCTAACTTAAACACCTCTGATTGAACATTGTGTTCAAAAAAATCAACAGATATGTCTGTGACTGGCTCACTGCTGCAAAAACATGTTGAAAATATAAATGTTTGATGCTCTCCACAATGCAACCAAAAAATATGCACTGGATTGTTTGCCAAATTTTTTTTGCCAATATTATATGGGGCAGCTGTTTACCTCACTTATTGGTTAAAGGGTTAGTTCACCCAAAAATGAAAATTCTGTCATTAATTACTCACCCTCGTGTTGTTCGAACCCCGTAAGACCTTCGTTCATCTTCGTAACACAATTTAAGATATTTTTGATGAAATATGGCATGATGATGTCATTACGCCAGATCTGGGTCAGCGCCGCCACATGCTCGCGTCATGATACTGTCGTTAACACCCATCCACAAGTGACGCAGTAGAGACGAAAATGTGGAATAAAGTTGTTATTTTTGTTTTCTTTGCGCAAAAAAAGTATTCTCGTAGCTTCGTAACTTTACAGTTGAACCACTGATATCACACGGACTACTTTGTCGATCATCTTGGTACTTTTCTGGACCTTGAACGTGGTAGTTACCTTGCTGTCTATGGGAGGGTCAGAGAGCCCTCATATTTCATCAAACATATCTTAAATTGTGTTCCGAAGATGAACGAAAGTCTTACGGGTTTCGAACAACACGAGGGTGAGTAATTAATGACAGAATTTTCATTTTTGGGTGAACTAACCCTTTAAGTCTGCCCCTGTTGTTAATAAAGATATTAACAACTTTTATTTGAAAATTTCAAATTTTATTTGAAAACGAAATTTTAGGAGATGTGAGCTCCTCTGTGTCAGTGGCCGTTCAGCGTTAATGAACCTACCGAGAACAGCCAGGTTGAGCATTACCAGCTAGATTTAGTTGGCCTCACTTCTATGCACAGCTCTGACTCTGAAACCAAACTTCTAGAAAGGGATTGGACTCTCTCCTTCTCTCGAGTCACTTAGGGTGAGAGGTGTTGAGATGGGGTGGCAATACTCACAAGTCCCTGACTCTGTGCCACAGCGTTGGAGTTTTTCCGGTAGATGAGAGGGTCACCTCACTGCGACTTTGTGTTGTGGGGGGAAATCTCTGACTGTGTTCTGTGTTCATGCGCTGAACTACAGTTTAGAGGATCCAGCCTTTTTGGAGGTCCTGGGTGGAACCCTGGAAGGGGTACCACCTGGGGACTCCATAGTTCTGCTGGGCAACTTTAATGCTCTTGTTGGGGATGATAGAGAAACCTGAATGGGGTGATTGGGAGGAACGGCCTGTCTGGTCTAAACCTGGGTGGTGTTTTGTTATTGGACTTCTGTGCTCAGCATGGATTGGCTATAACACAAACCATGTAGTCGTATCACCCACAGGGGCTGTATATTCTGGACACTTATGGCGCTTTTCCACTGCGTGGTATGACTCGGCTCGGCACGGCACGGCTCAGTACGGTACGGCACAGTTCGGCTCGGCACGGTTTGCGTTTCCACTGCAGTTCAGTACCGCTTTAGAGTGGGCGGGATTATTCACATGTCGTTATAGTTGCGTCAGCAGAGTTTACACGTCACGTTTTGGTAACGGTACGGTTCACTTGGAACCCCAACCGAGGTGGTACTAAAAAAAGTACCAGGTACCAGGTACTGTACCCAGTGGAAAACCCCCAAAAAGTGAACCTTACCGAGTCGTACCATGCTGTACCATGCAGTGGAAAAGCGCCATTAGACGAAGAGAGGAGTAGAGCTGTCAACTGATCACCACCTGCTGGTGAGTTGGATAAGATGGCGGGGGAGGCTGCCAGACAGACCTGCCCAGGTGAAAAACAAAGTGCACTTCCATAATGTACTTTAAGTGCTCTTTTCACGCACTAATTTTGTACTTAATATAATAAAAAATATTCTTTAGTACTTCTTAAGATAAACTTAAGGCAACTATAAGTGTACTCAACTGTGCTATTTTGGGACACCATGAATATGATCTAAAATGTTCTTTTAACATACTATCTC